GTAATTGTGTCTTTGGGGTTTAATACCAGACTCCGTGTGTTCGCGGGATGTTTCGAATGTGCACCAGATCGAAGCCAAGCGGTTCATCGTGTACAGCTTACCAATCAGCTTGTCAAATATTGTGGACGTACTGATGTCGACGCCAAAGTCGTACATGATCATGTTCCTCATCGTTCGCAGCGTGTAGGTACAATTGTCGTTGAAATACTTTTCGAGTGCGGATACGACCTATGTCGTGAGGCGATTGACAGCAAGTGCCCCTGATTTCCATCATCCGGCTACGACATGGTGTGTCTTCAACTGGTGTCTACGACTATAGATGTATTACTAGCTAACGCAAGAGCAATCCTGTTTTTCCGCAAGCTGGCGGCACTAGTGATGACCCCTTCCAGAGTCAGTCGCGTGTGGTGCGTATGACGTTTACACTGCAGATTGTTGCCAAAGCTATTCAAGAGGACGCATTGGTCCGCGATGAAAGGTGTGCATCTTGCGACTTTTCCTATATGCATTCTCGACCTGCCGGAGCTGGTCAAAAGCCACACCAAGACTACACGACAGATGTGCGGGCTACAATAGAGGAACAATTCCCTGGAACGATTCCTGCTAGTGTAATTGTGTCTTTGGGGTTTAATACCAGACTCCGCGTTTTCGCGGGATGTTTTGAATGTGCACGTGCTCGAAGCCAAGCGGTTCATCGTGTACAGCTTACCGATCAGCTTGTCAAATATTGTGGACGTACTGATGTCGACGCCAACGTCGAACATGATCATGCCCCTCATCGCTCGCAGCGTTTAGGTACAATTGTCGTTGAAATACTTTTCGAGTGCGGATACGACCTATGTCGTGAGACCATTGACAGCAAGTGCCCCTGATTTTCATCATCCGGCTACGCCATGGTGTGTCTTCAACTGGTATCTACGACTATAGATGTATTACTAGCTAACGCAAGAGCAATCCTGTTTTTGGGCAATCTGGCGGCACTTGTGATGACCCCTTCCGGAGTCAGTCGCGTGTGGTGCGTATGACGTTTACACTGCAGATTGTTGCCAAAGCTATTCAAGAGGACGCATTGGTCCGCGATGAAAGGTGTGCATCTTGCGACTTCTCCTAAATGCATTCTCGACCT